ACGGGATGACGTATTTCCATTTCCGGTTCATTGAGTGTGTGGTTGTAAACTTCCGGTCTACGGTAGAGCGGTAGAGGGAAGAGCGATAGATAGCGTATAGAAAGCAATAGATAGCGAGAGAGATAGCGTATAGATATTATATAGGCACTATTTTACACTCTATGTCTCCAAGACCTACCTTAGGTTAACATCAGTGATGTCACGATTTGTGTTGTGTCACGTTTTTAGTTTTGTGTGTCTGGTAGTGGGTGTTTTGCTTTTCTCCTTGTCATGTTTTCCTCCCTGTGTATTGTCTGGTCTTTGTCCCTGTGTTTTCCTGTCTGTCGTTAGTTTCCCTGGTGTGTCTAATTTCCTGATTGTTTTCACCTGTCACCCCTTCTGTGTCTCCTGTGCTCATCAGTGTCAGCCCCGCCCCTGATTGTTCCCACCTGTGTCTTGTTACCCTGTGTTTAAATTCCCCTGTCTCCCAGTGTTCCTTGTCAGTTCGTTTTGTCTGTTGCCATGGTTAGATCTTTGCTCTTATCTTTTGCCATGGTCAGGTCTATGCTCTTTTGTACTCAAGAAAAGTGTTGTTCCTCACCACGTGAGCGATTTTCATTTTGTTCTCTATTTTTGTCATCTCAACTAGAGATTAGTTAGTGACCTTTTTTTTTGTTCATCGTGTTTTTGGAAAAAATAAAGTATCTTACCAATGCTATACCTCTGTCTCCCGGGTCGTGCAATTGGGTCCTACCTCCTACAGTAAGTGTCTGAGTTCTTAACAAGTGATGTACATCGGCTGGTACAAGCGGCAGGCTCAGACCCGAGGAGCAAAAGAGAAAAGGGGTTAAAGATGTACATATCCAGTTACATCGACAATTATGAAGGTAAGTGACAAACAAAGCTGTAGTTACTGGCTAACTTTGACAACTTGATAGTCTTGATGCAGTGTAAAGCGTTTAATGATATACTATTACGTTTTTTTGGATAACATGAATGATGTCCAATTCCCCACAGTTTCAAACAAAGATCTACCTTCAGGGAGAGTGAGCATCAGGGCTAGCTGTTACAGGTCCATGAGAAAGCATGAAAAGCCTCACGATCTCAGGGAGGAAAATAAAGTGTTCATCGGTTCAAATAAAGCCTCAATCAGGTTCATGTTTTGATGTGGCAAGAGTGGGTAACCTGTGATTTAGGATTCAAATAAGCCCAGCTAGCTGACGTGTTGCAACAGATTACATAGTGACAATACCTTTGCTCTAGGGCTGTCAGTCGATTAAGATATTTAATCTCATGATTGTCCATAGTTAATCACGATTAATCGCACATTTTTTATCTGTTCTAAATGTTCCTTAGAGGAATATTTTTCAAGTTTTTAATACTCTTATCAACATATAAGTGGACAAATATGCTTTATGCTAATGTTTATTATCATTTGAACAATGACAAATATTCTCATGAATATTAAACACAACAACCTCTGAAAATTGTGTGTGTGTGTGTGTGTGTGTGTGTGTGTGTGTGTGTGTGTGTGTGTGTGTGTGTGTGTGTGTGTGTGTGTGTGTGTGTGTGTGTGTGTGTGTGTGTGTGTGTGTGTGTGTGTGTGTGTGTGTGTGTGTGTGTGTGTGTGTGTGAGTGTGTGTTGTGTGTGTGTGTGTGTGTGTGTGTGTGTGTGTGTGTGTGTGTGTGTGTGTGTGTGTGTGTGTGTGTGTGTGTGTGTGTGTGTGTGGTGTGTGTGTGGTGTGTGTGTGTGTGTGTGTGTGTGTGTGTGTGTGTGTGTGTGTGTGTGTGTGTGTGTGTGTGTGTGTGTGTGTGTGTGTGTGTGTGTGTGTGTGTGTGTGTGTGTGTGTGTGTGTGTTCAAAATACTCAAATGTATTTTGGCCTTAAAATATCAACTGTCCCTAAAAGTGACTTTTTTCAGATTATCTGTGTGTGTGCTCACCACTCCACCCCCACTCAATCTGTGTATAACTCTACATCACCCCTAGTGGTAGTGTGGGGGATTGCCGGGTCCCCAAAAGTGATGTTTTTCATATTTTATGTGTATACAGGGCCCTATAGGTAGCCCACATTAAGCCTGATAATAAAGCCATAATGATGGCTGCTAATGTAGCTTGCACTACAGCGTGCTTAAATAATAAATTCACTGGTGATGTGGTTTGTCCAATACAGGCTTGTATACACTTTAATCATGTTTAGTGTAATTGTTGATCTGCTTTTAAAACGACTAATTCTTATTTTTTTCCACTTAACTCCCTCCTGTGCTAGATAAAGGTGATGTTGGCATCATTAACCAAGTAAATGTACATTACTATGCATTGCAAGCTATTGGTAGCATGTAGCTATCATTATCATGGTCAGCTACTATACATGCAAATCCTACCTTGGGTTGAGATCATGTGACTGTAAAGTACCTCGCATTTAAGTGAGGCCTTGTGCACGGAAGCATCTGTATTTGATTTGTTTCTCCATATTTACAGTATTGCAACAGCACTACAGCACCACATTAAACTTCTCTTTTTGTGATAATGTATTTTGCTCATTCAAGGGTTTGCATTCAGGTGAGATGCAGTTGATCTTTGTATGAAAAACTTGAAAAACAATTTGGTAAACTATATACCCTTAGGCAGTTACATCTTCTGGTGTGTTGGCTATACCCACAGATACTCTCCTTTTAATCAGAAGCTAAATTAAATGAAAATATGATAATGTCTACAAATGTTAATTTAAGGTGAGAGCAACACTGAACATTAATATCAGAATCTACTATTATGCCAGAAGATCTACTTTGCTTATGAAATTGTGGAAAGAAAGCAATGTAAAGCAGACCACATATCCAATACTTGCGCTTCTTTACCTGAGACGGTACTCATATCGGACGGCATGTTCATTGGGCGACTGAAAAAAGGAGAAATAATTTATGGTTTTCACTAACTCCTTTGGTTTCGAAGCGTACCCTTCAATGCAAATGACTGAGCCTCATTGGTAAGACGATTTACTGTGGTGGGGAGTTCCCCCAAATAGTCTGTTAGTCAACCCTAAAGGTATTGATGTACTAGTGAAGAAAGGCTTCACTTGGGTGAACGTCCCCAATTAGGTTTGAGTAAGGTGTGTGTGTGAAATGTCCCCAAAAGTATTGATAGAATGATACACCAGTGACCAAAGGTTTGACTTGGATTGACGTCCCCGATTAGGTTTGAGTAAGGTGTGTGTGAAATGTCCCCAAAAGTATTGATAGAATGATACACCAGTGACCAAAGGTTTGACTTGGATTGACGTCCCCGATTAGGTTTGAGTAAGGTGTGTGTGAAATGTCCCCAAAAGTATCGATAGAATGATACACCAGTGACCACAGGTTTGACTGGGATGGATGTCCCCGATTAGGTTTGGGTAAGGTGTGTGTAAAATGTCCCCAAAAGTATTGATGGAATGATACACCAGTGACCAAAAGGTTTAGGCTAGGCCGTGTCTCAATTCAGGGGCTGCATCCTTCGGAGGACGCAGCCTACGCGGTCCACGAAGGATGCAGCCCACGAGCCCATGAGACGGTCTAGCCTACGGAGCACTTCTGTTGCGCTGCTCCAGCAGCCTGATAGCAAATGAGCAAACTTTACTTTTACTTTTTTACTTTATCCATGTTTTGGAGATCACCGTCGGCGATGAAATAAAGTGGATCATGGCCAGGTAAATACGATCAAGCTGTTCCTTTAGCCCCCAGTAATGTTACATTATATATAGCTGATGTGATTTAATCATATTATTTCATATTTAAAGTAAGTCTTACATTTTCTGTACTAATAAAACAATGTTTTTTTTTTTAAATGAACAGCATGTTTATATAGATTGAGTCTCAACAATATTAGTTTTCTAATCTTAATAGCTGTGATTATAACAGTTTATATTCTCCTTCTTCCCCTAAACCAGCCCAGATGATGTCTCACTGACCCCAGGTCAGCACCTCCAGGTCCAGCACCTCTGCTGAAATACACAATTAAACATTTTCTATGCCCTATTTTTGTATTAATAAAATTAAACAGAATTTAAGAAAATGTAATGACCTAAAGATATGCTATTATTCAACTCCTTGTACACATGTGGTAAATAATGGTTAAAACCTCAGTAAATGAAATAATAATATGTTTAACAATTACTATTTTAATACAATTTCGTATTTTCCTCTTATCACAAAGTAGAGGTAAGAATATATCCATCCTCTCTCATCATTAAGATAGAGGACTTCCTTACAGAGCCCCTCCTCCAACACACAAGAACACGCACATGACCAATGAGGGCAGAGATAAGTTTATGCTCAGATGGAAGGCTGACAGGCAGGTAGGCCATCCAGTTATTTTAGCCGGCTAAAATGATTGGTCGTGCTTTTTACAGTACTACGGCTTCCACAGATGACGTTTTGTTATGGATTTTTTTGTCAAAGCACTTACACTATTAAAACTACTGGGTTAAAAAATAACCCAATCATAACCCAGCTGCTGAGTCACTATAGGACAGAACACGCGCTGGGTTGTCTTAACCCATGTGCCGAGTTGTTTATTTGACCCAAGCTAGTGATTGAAATTAACTACATCACTGGGTTAAATATAAACCATACATTGGGTTGTTCATTTGACCCAAGCTATTGATTGAAATTAACTATATTGTTGGGCTAAATAGAATATAGTGTAATGAATTATCTCCAAACACACCGTGTATATATATATATATATATATATATATATATATAAAAATGCATTTATTGATAATTTGAACAGCTTTGGCAAATCGCCAACATTCCATTTCCACTATAAAAGAACAATGCATTTTAGCACAATACAAATTCAATATATTTAACTCTTAAATAAATAAAAAAACACCTTAAGCTTTTCTTTTTAATGACTGATTTTAAATGCCATTTTATTAATCTCTTTCATTTTTTGTAAAGCACTTTGAATTGCCTTGTGTTGGAAAGTGCTATATAAATAAACTTGCCTTGCCTTGCCTTGCCTTAAAAACAGTGCCAGGGCCTTGAGAAATATCTGTATTTTAACCATCACTTATGAGTGAACACAATTTTCAGGAACAGTTTTGCATATTAATTTAACACATGGACCATAAAGACCCAATACATATAAAAGTATAAAACATCTACGAACAGTCCTTCAACTTGAAGCTGAACAGTAACAAATCTGTCAATGAACACAATAGAACACAGATGTAAAGCAGCAGGATGTAAGCCGAGGAGAACTGTGTGTGTGTGTGATTGTTAAAGTGCAACTTTGTTGGTAGGATTAAACTGCCAAAAGCCTTTTCAGACTCAACACCCTGGGCTTCAAGTTCCCCTCATCCAGGCCCATCAACACTTTCTGGGTGAAGTCGAAAGTGTTGGCCAAGTCTTTTGGGTAGCTCAGATGCAGGGCAAAGGTCAGTGCAAAAAGCAGGATGAATGCGTCAGCCAGTGTGGGGAGTTCGATAACTCCGTTACCCTCAATGACAACAGCGATCCTCTCTGGGCAGAAGAGCGTGGTATCTGTTGACATGGCACTGATCATGAGAAGTCCTCTGTGTCTGGATCATCAGACTGCTCCACCTGATGACAAGAACAGATAAACGTTACCCAAATTGCCTATCTCAGAAATATGTTTTCTGAAAAATACATCAGTGACATATCACATAAAATAACTAGTGCTGTCAAAATTATCGCGTTAACGGCGGTAATTAATTGTTTGAATTAATTGCGTTAAAATATTTATTTAACGCATGTGCAGAATGGCCCGCCCCATACGTGCCACCAGTGGCAGCGCCAGGATATGGCTGGGGTAGGCTACACCCATACCAAGAAATCGCATAGCCTCATCATGAAAAATGATGTTAAAGTAAGCAAAATAAAGTCTGCCAACTCGCGCGTAGTAAATTGCACAGACAGCAGTTAGTAAGATTGATTTCAGTAGCCACGGTTTTGAAAACTTTTGTCACGTAGTGATCGTCTTCTCAATAGAACATCTTTGATAACGGCGTGGTGTTGTTGCAGGAAGTCCCGACGGAGAATACTTTTGCTGTAGTACAGGGGTGCACATAACTGGTACGCAGGTTATGTGCGTAATCTCTCTGAAATGCGTACCGTCACTTGTGTCACAAACAGTGCTGGAATTGGGCCGGTACTCACCGGTACGCAGTACCGGCACTTCTGGTTCTGACCCATGGAGTACCGGCACTTCTTGCTCAGTACCGGCATGCTGGCGGTACTCCGGTACTCATGCACCGTGCCAGTACTCAACACTCTCCCGCCGTTCTTATTATACATCCATATATATATATACAGCCGCCCGGTACTCAGTAGATGCGTCATGAGGTGCCGAACGGACATTCTCATCGCTCTAACCGCTGGAGTTTCACAGCGGCTGTCAGCTGTTTACTCCTGTCATTCAAACAGAACGTACTGGAGAGGGGGCGGGGCTTATCTTCTCCATGTAAATACTGTGGTGGAAACGACTATGTCAAAATTAACCTATTTCACCGTGATTTAATAGTAATACACGTTTCAAAATAATAAAAATAATAATAATGCCGAAGTAACAACATACTGAAAACTGTTAGTAAAACCATGTTTTAATGCTTTACAATTTACATACCTAGATGCACGTGTTGTGTTTATGCAGTGCAACTCCCACCCAGTGGGTGGCTATGTAGAGTGATAGAACAGAGCAGGCACGCCCCCGAGAGAAGGAAAGCAAGTCACGTCACAAATTAGCATTTCTAAAATGTTAGCTTGGATTAATAAAAGTGCAAAAAGACAGCGGTTGTCGCCGGAAGAAACTTCAAATACAGAGAATGCTGTGCCTGTGTTGGAAATTGTGTCTGATGGGGAGCTTTCTTTGGTTGATCCTCCTGCTCCAAGTTCTAGTGCATTAGCATTAGCACTAGCTCCGCCGCCTCCTCCAGAGCCTCTAACGTTAGCTGCTGCTGGCGCAACTGCCACCACCAACACCGGGCAAAGCGATGCACCTGACTGCTGGACAACGGACCAGGTGCAATATTTTTTGCAAGACCAATGCATGGCTCCTTCTTAAAGATAAGAAGCTAGGATGTCGGATATGCAGAGATGTCAAATCTTTGGGAATACACACTGGACAAGGACTGAAACTGTCAACTGAATGGGGTGAGTGTGCAGTGTCTCATTTCGGTGTTGACAAGGGCAAACAACAAGCTAGCCTGAGAAAAAAAATCAAAGAACATAAAGAATCACAAGCCCATGTAAAAGCTGCTGACATCCTTACATCTGCTTCATGTGAAACTATTCAACATCAAGTGCAGTCTATGTATAAATCTGAATTAGACACCACTATCAGAGTTTTTCGAACGGCATATACAATTGGCAAACATAGCCGGCCATTCACAGACATGCCAATTGATTTGAATGTACAGAAACTGAATGGGCTGAACGTGGGCAGGGTTTTGCACTCCAATAAAACCTGTGGCGAAATCATCGACCACATAGCTCATGAGCTGAAGAAAAAAATGGCAAAAGACATTACAGAAAACCAAAGAAAACTCTGTGTTTTGGTCGATTAATCTACCACTATTAGTGGTAAAACGGTGCTTGTTGTGTGTCTACGCTCAGCATTAGCTGATGCTGAGCCCGAAACGTTTTTTTGGGAGCTGATCGAGTTGGATGGAACAACGGCTGATGACATCACAAAGGCGTTAATGAAGTGTCTTGGAAGAGATTTTAACGAGGACTTTTTAGGTCAGTGTTTCGTTTCTTTTGCATGTGATGGGGCTTCAGTCATGCTAGGGAAGAGAACAGGCGTTGCTACCCAGTTGTGTAGTAAATTCCCAAGCCTGTTTGTGTGGCACTGCTCCAATCATCGTCTAGAGCTGGCAGTTGGGGATGTGGTCAAGGAGGTCTCAGGGCTCAATCATTTCCAGATCTTTTTTGACAAACTCTATTCCTTGTTCCATGCCTCCCCCAAAAATCAGAGGCAGTTAGCGCAGTGTGCGCAAGCAGTCGGACAGCGTCTCCTGGTGATAGGGCGTGTTTTGTCCATCCGCTGGGTGGCTTCAAGTGAAAGGAGCGTCAGAGCAGTCTGGGAAAACTACCGAGTGCTTCATGATCACTTCACAAATGCTGCAAACGACACGAGCAGGGATTCCAGAGACAGTGCAAAGTACAAGGGCCTGGATGATGTGCTCACATCTGCAACGTTTGTCAGCAATCTGGGACTGATGTACGATGCGCTCACAGAGCTCAGCGACCTCTCTCGGCAACTCCAAAAAAGAGAGATGACACTGCCTACAGCAGATAGGCTCTTAACTCGAGAAATACGAGTTTTTGAATCCATGGTCACCATGCCTGGCCCACACATGACTACAGTTCATACAGCTCTAGCTGAGAAGTCCTTCAAGGGTGTTGCCCTGCGTGAGAATGGCAGGCTTGTACAGATTCATGCAGGTCAGTTTTTCCGCAGTATGGTAGAGAATCTGAGACACAGAATGACTTCCACAACCTCCTCTCATGTCAGCACAAGAGAAATCCCATTACATGGCCGGGAGGCCCGGGACAATCAGCTAATCCAGGACATGAAAGTTATCCATCCTGGAAGTTGGCCTGAAGAGGAGTTAGACGTACAGTATGGGGACGTAGAGGTGCTACGTTTGTGCGAAGTGCTGAAAGTGGACAGAAGAGAGACTGTTCAGGGCTTTCGCGAATACAAGGAAACCAGGGCATCCCGTACACCTGCTGCCATGGAGCCTCTACTGAAAGCAGTCCGAACCATCGCTGTCTCCACTAGTGAGTGTGAGCGGGCATTCAGCTGCATGAACGATATCCTTACTGCAAAAAGGAATGCTCTCTCTGTCAGCCGACTGTCCAGCCTGGTTTTCATTAAATGTAATGGACCATCACTAGGACAGTTCAATCCGGAACAGTATGTGAGGTCCTGGCTGGCAAAGGGAAGGAGAAGTGCTGATGAAAGAGCCTGTCCAGCTCCAGCCCCTGATACTGATGTCCCCAAGGCCTTCTGGAGCCTTTTCTAACAATGTGAAGTATATTGCAAAGCAGCTCACCCAGTGAGAAGACTTTTGGCATAATGTGCCGATTTGTACAGATCCTGGAGATAGAAGGACTTCAGACCAACCAGGGAGTTATCTGATCAGCTTGGTGTTCAATGTAACTCTTTACCATGGCTCAGACTTTGTTACTTGCAGTTACAGTTTCTCATTTTAGATTGTGCAAATTTTGCATTTGTTTTTACATGTTCTTTGTTCATGCTCTTTATCATTTTTCTGAGTTGGAAAGTTAGATTGCATCATAGTTTACTTTATACATATTTGTATTCTTCAGTGGTGAAGTATATTGCAAAGCAGCTCAGCCATGTGAGAAGACTTTTGGCACTTTTTCGTTTTTCGTTTTCTGAGTTGGAAAGTTAGATTGCATTCAAAATGTACAGAAATACTTAATTTTGTTAAAGCTTTTTATAAAAAATGCTTCTGACCAGAGCTTTGTTTCCTTGTCATTAATGTTGAACACCACCAGAGGGGCTCTCACCTGAAAGGTCTCTGCTTCATGTGTCTTCAGCAGAATTTTCAGTTAATATTGACCTTACTGAGCTTTAGCCATATCCGCTGCCTATCATAAAAAATGTTAAGTACAGTGAACCTTTCTAAAATATACAGTAGTAAAGAGACAAACCCACCAGCATTATAGTAGCCAAATTCTTGTTTGTGGGCTGTATATATAAAATTGACTTGAAAAAGTTGCTGATTTTAGAGTACTGGCACCTTTTTCATTCCAATTCAAGCACTGGTCACAAAGCGCATTTGCGTACCGACGTAGGCTACTTGTGAAACTTTTCCAGAAGGCGGTTAGATCACCGGACGACAGAGTCGGTCTCCGTGTGCACAGACAGGGCTGCTGTTAACGTCGGTCTGTACAATGGAATTGTGCCAAAACTACGCCAACCGGCTACGGAGGGAGACTCCCCCCCCTTCACTGGAGAACTGCGCTAAAAGAGCTGATCACAACGTTCACACTCTGTGGTCACGAAGTACTCCACCAGCCCCCACCCCCCGTCGACTTTCCTGAAGTACCCGTTGATAGAAATCAACACGTAATGAATTAAGACCCCACGGTTTGATGATTGATAGGTGTGTGGGTTGTCTTTTATTTTGACACGCAGAAAAATGTTATAATAAACATAGATACTGTATGTTAAATGGATATATCCGCCTTCTTTCATTTATCTTTCCATTCCCACAACAATATGCATAAATAAATGGCATATGTTGGACATAGTTCGAATGGTGATTAATCATGATTAATTAATTTGTAAGCTGTGATTAATCTGATTAAAAATGTTAATCGTTTGACAGGCCTAAAAATAACCTTATGTTTTGTGCCTAATGTGGGTTTAAGGAAACGCCTATTAGCATTGCACAACATAATGTTACAGCACCAGAAACGTCAGCCTCCAAAATAACCAATCAGTTGACATAAATGCTTTCAACAAAAAAACATGTACAACATTAATAAGGGTAGGATTTATTTTATCACTGTATTAGACTGTTACTATTAGCTAGTTGTACCTAATAAACTGGCAACTGAATATGTATTTACAGTATAATCTCTCCCTACTACACATACAAAAAAATATGGGGAACACTAGAGATTATTTTGTATTGAACACTGATGCTGCAGGAAAGAAAGCCCTCTCTTGATTGTGTATTTTATTAAATCACGTGAGCCCATTTTATACACTGAAACCTAGAGCTTACATTTCAAATAAATCCTAAAGTAGAAATCATATTCAACACTTGAAGTAAAGGGAGATTATGTTCAACATGTCCATTGTGTACCTTACAATAATTACAATTCTTATAGCAATATTCAAATCTTGGAACTAGAACCTGAATGGGATGTGAGCAACACAAGATATGTTTGATTAACAACACCTCAGTGACAGAATCAAGTTTTGATGACACCAGGACAGTTCATACTTTTTCAAACTAAATCTATCATTTATTATAATTTTTTCACTATAAAAATTCAAATAATTGTCTCCCTGCAATAGAGCTCCTGAAACAATGTAACGAGAAACTATATTTTTGGATGATCTGTCACATACATTCAAAACAGTTATTATGCTGACTTACATGCCACAGCCTCAGAAACGTGGAGTCATCTTCATGCAGATAGAGCATGGAGGACAGCAGCACGGAGGACATGTCACCTTGCTCCTTGAGTGTGAGAACATATATTTGTTTTACTTTGGATGCTAAACAGTATAACCACACAACAATTGATATCACAAGAAAGGGCTCTTCCATGACTGAAGAGATTAACATTTTGACAAAGATAATCCACTCTAGTATGAGAATAAAACACCAAGAGGCATAACCGACTCACCTGGAGTTCATAGGAGGCTAATAGCTGATCCAGAATTTCAGTTTCCTTTCCTTTCCTTGCTTGCCGCCTTCTTCCTGAACAGGCTCTGAAGACGGGGGGGACATGTCTATCCAACTCCGCATAGAAGTGGTTCTTCAGGTTGAGGTTTGTTATCCTGTGAAACTCTGCCAAAAATATAAAATGACTATTTAATTCACAGTACAATGTATATGTGGACCGAAGGCAGCAGAGATAAACAGAAACATAACATGCTAAATCTGAGTAAACATGTTAAAGTTATCAGTGACAAAGGCACATAAAATAATTATATAGTTGTAATAAATAAAATATTTTCACCTGTGACTCCATTTTCAAGGCAGGTCAGCGTTCCAGGATCTCTCCAACAGGTAGCTCATCATTGATGATCTCATTGCGCCGCAGGGCAAAGGTGGACGAGGGAAGGGGCTGCAGCACCCCCAAACGCAGCGCACATACAGTGTAACAGCCCCTACAAACGGGGCGGCATGTCTGAAGCTAGACCAACAACATGAAAGCTACACTTTGCTCCCACAATGCAGTTCGGCTAAGCGTGACGTCACCACATTCAAAGTGAATGGGCAGAAGCGTCAACGCACGCCGCCGTGTGTAGGGGCCGTAACTTCACTCCATTCACTTTGAATGGAGTGACGTCACGCTATGCCAAACTGCATTGTGACAATCAAATAATATGCCAGTACAAGCTCTAGCCAATCCAACCGCGTGCTTGTGTGTCCAGGGCGGGATATTCATGCGAGTGGTTGTTGGTCGAGCTTCAGACAAGCCCGCTGCCGTGTGTGTAGGGGCCGTAAGCATGCCACAGTTGCGCAGCTGCAAGGCTCTGCTCGCGCCGCTGCAAGGCTCTGCTCGCACCTAATTGTAGATTACATCTAGAGTATTGCAAATAAATAAACTGTTAACAGCAATGTAATAAGTATATAAAGTATATGCAAAATGAGAAGTTATATATGGCACACAGATGTGATTTGTTACTCTATCATTATCATGGTCAGCTATAATACTTGTGCAAACCCCACCCAGCATTGTAGCTTGTGCTACATTAGCATGAATACATTAGGACTATATGCTAGCTGCACTGTGATTTGGACTAGCCTATAGGCTTACCTCTCCTTTGCTCATGTTCAGTGTAATTATGGGGATACTTTTACACTTTAAAATTAGTGTTACTTAATACTTTTCAAACATTTTCAAATATTGCTAACTGGTAGCCAATATTAGCTTCATTCGCTTGTTGTAAATGTACATTCCTATGCATTTTAAGCTATTGGTAGCATGTAGCTATCATGGTCAGCTAGCATACTTTTGCTAGCCAAGGGATGAACACCGTACCTCCACAACATATTCCCTCATTATGTACTAACTTCACTGGCGATGTGGTTTGTCCAATACAGGCTTGTCTACACTTTAATCATGTTAAGTTTAATTGTTGAGCTGCTTTTAAAACTGCAAATCCTAATTGTTTTCCACATAATTCCCACCTGTGCTAACTGGTAGGTGATGTTAGCATCATATTAAGTAAATGTACATTCCTATTGTGACGGATTGGATCACATGAGTGACTGACTCCGCCACTTACAGCCGACACATACACACACCAAACATTTCGGAGAAAAGACGGAGACGCATCACTTCCGTGTTTTAAATTCCTGCAATGAACCATGCAATTTCTTATTTATTTTTGCGTTTGTTAATTATGGGGAATGATTATGTTAGGAGGTGGTTAACCTGTTTATGTTTGGGTCGGATGTGTATGTTGACAGTGTGGTTTTGAGCTAATTGTGTCACCTGTTGACGGTAAGCCTGTGGGAGGGGCTATGGGCTCAAAAGGGACAGGGTTTGGCCCTGGAAGGGATCACTGAAGAATGTTGCAGTAAAGGCAACAGCTGGGACATGTTTGGGAGTTTATTGCAGAGAAGGCAACAGAACATGTTTACTCTGAATGAGTGATGGACGGCCTGTTTTGGTATTTTATTTTTGTTTGTTTAAGGTGTGCTGTTTTGTTATTTCTTTGTTGCTGTTATAAAAAAAAAAATTTGAGCTTAAAACAACCGACTAAGCCATGTTTCGAACGGACAATTAGAACCCCGTCACACCTATGCATTGTAAGCTATTGGTAGCATGTAGCTATCATTATCATGGTCAGCTATAATACTTATGCAAACCCCACCCAGCATTGTAGCTTGCGCTACATTAGCATGAATACATTAGGACTACATGCTAGCTGCACTGGTGATTTGGACTAGCCTATAGGCTTACCTCTCCTTTGCTCATGTTCAGTGTAATTATGGGGATACTTTTACACTTTAAAATTATTGTTACTTAATCCTTTTCACACGTTTTCAAATGTTGCTAACTGGTAGCCAATATTAGCATCATTAGCTTATTGTAAATGTACATTCATATGCATTGTAAGCTATTGGTAGCATGTAGCTATCATTATCATGGTCAGCTAGCATACTTTTGCTAGCTAAGGGATGAACACCATACCTCCACAACATATTCCCTCATTATGTATTCTAACTTCACTGGTGATGTGGTTTGTCCAATACAGGCTTGTCTACACTTTAATCATGTTAACTTTAATTGTTGAGCTGCTTTTGAAACTGCAAATCCTAATTGTTTTCTACATAATTCCCACCTGTGCTAACTGGTAGGCGATGTTAGCATCATTAACTAAGTAAATGTACATTCCTATGCATTGTAAGCTATTGGTAGCATGTAGCTATCATTATCATGGTCAGCTATAATACTTGTGCAAACCCCACCCAGCATTGTAGCTTGCGCTACATTAGCATGAATACATTAGGACTACATGCTAGCTGCACTGGTGATTTGGACTAGCCTATAGGCTTACCTCTCCGTTGCTCATGTTCAGTGTAATTATGGGGATACTTTTACACTTTAAAATGATTGAAAGACAACAAATCTGATATATCACATCACATGGCAAAGAAACAAACAAGAAACATACAGGTACAGCACTAACAAATAACTAAATAACAAACCAAAAACGATCGCCGGTTCATCTTGTTTTTGGCGTGAGAATAGTTTTGGCAGCGTGAGATTGAGAGTGAAAGCGTGTGTCACACACCAGATGAGAGTTGGCAACCCTGCAATAGACTGATATAGAATAAAATATATTTGGGAGGGATGAAACCCTCTTTAATGGTCACACATGCAGAGCACACAGCACACATAGTGACATTTGTTCTCTGCATTTAACCCATCCTAGTAGGCTACAAGGAGCAGTGGGCTAAAAACTATACTAGTGACTAAAGGTTTGACTTGGATGGACGTCCCCGATTAGGTTTGGGCAGAGCCCTATAGTAGAAGAGTTGCGACATCTCTGTTCACTCCAAGCCCCCAGGAAGTGCGCCGGAGTCTGATGAGAATATTCGTAGTGGCCAAACTGCGGTACTACACTTCCGTTTGGTTGCCAGGCCCGGAAACACTTTTTCCCATTGACTTACATGGGGAAAGAGTGGTCTGTAACTCGTTGGATAATTTTTTAAAAACTAAATAAACGACCCAGTATGAACACTTGTATAGACCTTATTAAAAACATTCGTTCCTCAAGTTGTAAAAATTTGCTAATAACGTTATTCTGTTAGTGAGTTATTTCCCTCTGCATTATGAACGCGCATCTAACCCACGGGACCGCGCCGCCCGGCACGTTCATGTTACGTGTCCCGACCAATCAGAGCACACTGTGCTCACAGGGAGGGTGGGGCTGGAGCTATTGGAGCTACAACGAGCCGTTAAAGGCAGAGAGTGAAATTCAGTGAATACACGTAGTTTACAGAGATGCTGTATGAGAAACCAATGTGAGTTGCGTTTATCTTTACCCATGGATGCACAATAAGAACGGACCCATATCGTCTTACTGCCATCCCACGGAGCTGTAATAATGGATATATTGCACATGTTTGCTGCAATTCATTATCATACTACATGGGCTGTATGATTAAATCTTGTACCGTAAATGTTGTATTAAATAAAGTTAATATTACCGACATTATTAACGTCCCTGTAGCTTCGTATTGCACGAAGAAGCTTATTGCACTGTATATAAATATATATATATATAGGCTACAGTGCAATAATTATTTCATGCTAAATGAAGCTCTGTTGGATATCACTAGATCCTGTTACAGCGTAATATAAGTACATAACGATTGATGTGTACATTAGCATCATTACTAGCTAGCCGCTAGCTAATATCTGCCGCCTCGTTAATATCAAATCCATGATAACAACATCCATTACCATGCTGTCATGAACGCACGGTGCTGTTACGTGTACGCAAATTGACGTGCTTGATGTGAACGAGCATTTTGGTTAAAGTTGCGCATGCTCTATGAGTGCACATACGGGTACTTCTCAGGCATGCTGGGTAATCTGTGACATTTCACTCTCTCAAAAGTTGAGCCATTTTATCATCATGCGCTAATGAGCAGCTCTCATAGGAATGAATGAGGCCCCGCCTCCCACGCTGTATCCAGTTATTATTATACATCCATGATCTGGTACTGACAGCGGCTCGCCTCGAAAGTAGACGAGAGTAGCCGATCGCAGCCGGGGGAGGTCTCAAAAAGCTCGCCTGAAGTCGGACAGCTCCGAGTCGGCTTCTTCTTCTTCATCTTCTTCTTCGCCTTCTTCTTCTTCTTCTTCTCTCAGTTATTTGGCGGATTGCAAACAACTTTAAGGTGCATACCGCCACCTCCGGAGTCGGCTTGACTCGGTTTGCATTTATAAAGAATGCACACATGTGTTTAATCGTTAATGTCAGATATGTACTAAGTAAATACATTTGTTCCTGCTCAAGATTAGATTCAACTTTATTGTTATTGCACATATTAGAGGTACTGAGACAACGAAATGCAGTTTAGCTTCTAACCAAGAGTGCAACAAGCAGTAAAGTGAAAAGTAATGTATACAATAGACAGAATAACATATAGAATGAATTGAATGATGAATAAACAGTGAGGGCTATGAATACACTATACACAACAGCCTGAGATCAGTATGAACAGTGTGTATGAATACACTAGATATCAGAGATGTTCACAAGTCTTTTTTTGCAAGTCCAAGTCAAGTCTCAAGTCTTTGGTCACGAGTCCAAGTCAAGTCTCAAGTCTTTGTGGGGTGAGACTTGATCAAGTCTCAAGTCTTTGTTCACGAGTCCAAGTCAAGTCTCAAGTCTCTAAAAAATAAAAGTCTCATGTCTCTTCTGGTTGTAATAAGCCTTCTATTGTCTGCTGCTATCCAGTCTGTTAAGAATACTGCACAGCTATATCTAAGACATTCAAAGCATTTACTGTATTATTATCACTCCTATATCTATTAGCATACAGTATCAGTACTGATTAGTTGTTTGTTATATGATCACTTTAAACAGGCTATTGCAATGCAATATGAGGAAAAACATCACACTTTAGCTAAATGCAAACAACTTATAAGCAAAACACTTCAGAATCAAAAATCAGTATCACAAATACTGTATTAATCCCCCGCAGGGAAACTGTGTTAAAAGTACTTCAAAGTAAACATTTGTTCTGTGCCATTTGCAACTAAAAAACTA